GTTCTCACCCTTTCACTGTCAAAACTATTAAATGCAGCCGTCTCTTCTACTCCAAAAGCTTCACATCTCGTACCTCTCGCCCGTGGAACTCCCTTCCCTATTCCAGTTTCCCTGAGAGCTATAATCTCCAACTATTCAAATGTAATGTCAATCGACATCTCCAGTTGCCTTGATCTATCCACTATCCTTCTCCTCATCCTTTCCTCTATCACTCCTATCTGATCTTGCTCCAAATCTTCTGTAACCCCTTGCGTCTTAGTGGCTTCCCGCCTTGCTTGGGGTGAAACGCTTAAAAAAACAAAAATTCTGTCTTGTAAATGTTGTTTAGTTCTTTTAATCAATTTCCTTCACTACCTTCCATCGAAGTTCTTCCATTTTACTTTTCTGTGTCTGCTATCAATATATGTGTCATATGCGAAAAAGCTTGCATAAATTCAATATCGACTCGCATAGCTCCCATGAAAAGCCAAAGTCCATTCGTACGCCATCACCTTATCAGATTGTGTAAGAAATCCTGGAACGAAGCTGCTCTCAAACCTTAAATAGATAAAACAACTCCTTTTACACAAGATAATTCGAGAGGTTACTTGGTATTTTCATCGCCCCCCCTTACTTTCAATATGTCCTGTGCGTGTCAAATTCTCCAAACATTCTTTCCTCATTATGTGTCCCAGAAATTTCAATTGTCACTTTCCAATTCTAAGTATAAATGTCCTTTTTGCTTCCATTTTTCCTTAATACTTCTTCGTTGCTCACATGCTCAGTCTATGATATTCTCAGCTTTACCTCCTGTTAAACAAAATAGCAATCGCTTCTTCTTCATAATGTTGGGTTTTCCTTGATCACTTTATGAATTATGTTGCACTGAAAACGTTTTGTCAAATCAAAATTAAGTTTGCTTTTTATTTCCTACTTTTATTTTGGCGGGATCAGGGATATTTCAGTTAACGCCCAAAACGATTTTCACATACGGAATTACCGTTTCAGGATTTCTTTACTATACTCATATTTTGTTTGTAAGCTTCGATAAATTATAAAATAAATAGGATATATATATATATATATATATATATATATATATATATATATATATATATATATATACTATATATATATTTGAATAAAAGACAGACCACGTTAAGATTCCATGTAATAAGCTATTTCACCATAACCCCTTTAACAGGATTCTGGATCATCAGACTTTTACTTCCAAAAGCTGAAATGAAAAATGAAAAGAAATTCACACGTTTTTACGGACCTCATCACTATATATATATATATATATATATATATATATATATATATATATATATATATATATATATATATATATATATATACATCCGTAAAAAGCAAAATAAATTAACAACAAAAATCTCAAATGAAAATTTTAGAGATTTATTCTTTTTAAACATCACCACGTTTATAAACCCAGGGTCGGCGCGTACAACATCGTAAATCCGCGACCAGAAGTAGGGATGCCTGACTGGTGGGCCTCGGCTGTGCTTTGTGACCCTTGCTATCTTATTAACATTTGCTTTTTTTTTTTCTACCTACATTTATATACGTTACAAATTAAACATAAGCACTATTGACTATAAAAGGATTAAAAAATCTTAGCGGATTTTGACGTCATTCAAGTCTCTCTCTTTTTATATATATATATATATTCCAAATCCGTGAATTTTTTTGCTCATGCTAAGTCTCAAAAAAACAAAATATAAAATTTGTTATCCATAATGTTGGTTGTGTTAAAATTATTCAACTTTTTAACAACTAAGATCTCAAGATTTCAATATGAAAAAATACCCCAAACTTAATAAAAACAAGGTTTTACCGTTAAAAATGTTATTTGAAGCAAGATCATAGTATTTTGGATTATTTAATTATAGGGTATAAATATTTTTAGAACGTTCGAATTTTTTTTTGTGTCATTTTGGGGAACCAAAGATCAGTTTAGGAAATTTTAACGTCTTTTCTGTGGTGTAAAATGCATTTAATTTGAAATTCTTGTAAAAATCAAATAATTGTTGGATTTTAATGAAACTTTCAGGATTTATACACAAATAAATGAAATTAATTTTTAGAAATGTTCTTTTTTACAATTAATTTTGAAATCTATTACACCTGTATTTAATTTTATGGAATTTCGAGAAATTCATTTTTGTTCAGCTTAATGTTTATATTAGTTATACGCAGAATTTGTAGAATTTAAATCATTTTTTTTCTTTCTTTTTTTTTTTTTTTTTTGTAAGTTTGTAAGACAGGACTCTCACTCGCCCAAAATCTGCCCTGAATCGTAAAATGAAAATGCAATGAAACAAAGACGTTATTTAATAATAATAATAATAATAAATAAAAAAGCAACATTTTTTTGCTTTTATGAATAGAAAGACATTATGGACACGATTGCCTTAAGAAAACTTTATTTTTTGATGAATAATATAATTTTTACATGGAACGTATACATTTCTAAATTTTAGAGTAATTTATAAAGTCTTAAATCATATAAAATTCCGTATTAATTTGTACGGGTCTGGTGATATTGTTATTAAGTAAAAATATATTTACTGATCACCAAACAGAAATATTTTAAAAATAATTTTGAATTGGTTTAGTGTTATAAAACGTACCACGTTTCGTAAATGCGGACGACCTTACATGGCATTATCAAACAATAACAGCGACAACAATATTAAATTTAAAGCCAATGCTTTAAAATTATTGGGTAGATAAAAATTATATAAAAAGGCGCTCATGTTATATTCCTCAAGTAATTTTTACAGATATGTCCTCAGTAGAAAAAAATTGGTTAATTTCCGGTTGTCAGTCTGTCAATAGAATTGCCAACACCTAATATGAATACCTACGTTTGTGTTAAAATGAGCATTTCTGTTATTTTAAAGTAAAATACGAAATATTTGGTTCGAATAAAAATAATTAAACTTTATTTCAGCTAAAATTCCTCAAAGAATATTTCTTAAAGTATATAAATTTTTATCCTCCCACCGCAAAAAAAAAAAAAAAAATAAATAAAAATAAAATAAAATAAATAAAAATAAAATAAAATAAAATAAATAAAAATGAAATAAAATAAAATAAATAAAAATAAAATAAAAATAAAATAAAATAAAATAAATAAAATAAAATAAAATAAGCAGAAATAAGGCATTAATTGATACATTTTTGAAAAAATAAACCAGTTTGCCGGAAGATCGCGAAAGAGTGAAACCTAAGGTCACAAATAACTCTCCATGCAACTATATATATATATATATAAGATATATATATATATATATATATATATATATATATATATATATATATATATATATATATATATATTAACGATCAAAGAATTTTTATATATATATATATATATTTTTGATTGCCTCAGAAGAATTTTAAAAACTTAAATACATATAGAATTTTTAATGGTTTTAATGCAACTGAATGAGAAATGACGCAACCAAAATTGAAAATACCACAGATTTTTTATCTTTTTGTCGGTTTTTTTTTTCAATCTCTGACGAAACTTTAATAAAAATGAAGCATATTAGATTGATATACATTTCCAATTTGTTCCATTATTTTATCATATATATAAATATTCACACACACACGCACACACATACACACACACACAAATACGCACACACACACACATATATACATATATATATATATATATATATATATACATACCTCTTTAAGGCAACTGATGTAGTCTGCTGTGATGAGTGTGAAAAATATAAAATCGTGACAATTTACCCGTTGCACGCTGTGTGTGTCTGTGGGTGTATATATATATATATATATATATATATATATATATATATATATATATATATACAAATATATACATATACAAATATATACATATACAAATGTACATCTATACATATACAAATATAAATATATACATATATATACCTATACATATACATACATATGTATATGTATAGGTATACTTATTTACTTTATAACATGGAAGTCTTCAAGCTTGGACGAGAATATAAGAATCTATTGATCAAGTAAGGAAAGGATTTATTATCGAACTGTTTTTTAGAACTGTTCCATCGTTTTTGAAATCATTTTTGATTTGATTTGTAACGTGAAGGACTTCAAGCTTGTATGAAGATATAAGAACCTATTGATCTCTACGTATTCCTATATCAACGGAAGGGATTTCTTGAACTGTTTATATAAAATAGTTCAATCGACTTTTTTAATATTTTAATATTTGGAAATCATCTTCGAATACGTTTTCACAACATCGCCCACGTGACGACGACGTGATCATATTTAAACGGAACGCTGATCTTATATAAAATTTCAGTTATCTGTTTGGATTAGTTGTGCTCTTATGTCCATCGTCTTTTGTGTTAAATTTTTATATGTTCTAATGTTAATTATGTTTAAATGAAAATGTCCATGAAGATGGTCTTAAATAGACCGAAACGTCCGACGTCGACTTTATATTAACATTAATACAGCATAATTGCATATTAAGATTTTTGTTTGTTTTTTTCTGTATTTTTCTTCATATATATATATATATATATATATATATATATATATATATATATATATATATGATAATATAAATTTATATATAAATAAATGATTTGTAACATTGATGTTGACTTCAGCTTCCCGACCACAGAGTTTCGTGAAAGTCATATATATATATATATATATTGAGAGAGAGAGAGAGAGAGAGAGAGAGAGAGAGGGAGAGAGAGAGAGGGGGGATTAAAATATTTGAACAAACTATGTAAAATGTGAATTTTAGTCTATAGTTAATTTTTATTTTCTTGTTTACATCTTGTTGTGTACGAGGAAAACTTTAAAGACAACAGAATAATTCTTAGGAAAAAATACATTGGCATAGCAAACAGATAATTTGTTGCCAGATTTAACGTCTCTTATTCGAATTCAAATGTTCCTTAATCTTGGCCATACTTCGAGGCAGACATTCCTTTTTCAAGACTAGTCTCTCAATCCATATTAATGATAAGGCTCATCCGAACCTCGTCCCAATCGTTTTCTTCTGTGAAATCAATCGGATTCAATGGCTGAAGCTCGTCTGGGATGATACACCTCTCAAGGACTATTAGAATGATTTTCTTTTCCTGCACTTTTCTTTCAATCGCTTGGGAAAGGCATTCATCATTCATGTATCTATTCCAATTATTCTCAAGGTAATTTGGTGTTAGGAGAATGACAAGTTTACGACAAACTTTTATTCCACTGCAGATGCTTTCAAAAACTAGCTCGCCAGGTACAAAATCACGGCTCTGTATGCAACCTGAAAAAAATAAAATAAAAAGCAGGATTTGTATCTAATACATAGACGTTAGTGATGTTTCTAAATCTACATTCGTGGATGGAATAAACTGTGTCATCAGTTTAATAACAAACCCACACAATAACATATAATAACAACTTGATTGATTTGTTTTTTATGGATTATCAACCCTTTGTGAGCTATTTAAAAGTTGAAACACCTTTAGGGTTCTAAGGACAATATTTTGTGTGAATGAATATGGCGTGAAACATATTTTTAAGGCAATTCACTCCAAACAAGGCGGGAGTGCTACTAGCACGCAAGGTGTTACTGAGGATGGAGAAAAAAATATAAAGAGGCGTGTTTGAGGAAGAGATACAGAGAAGGTCAGGGAACAAGCTCAGGGTGTCAGATGTCGATTGACATTACACTTGAATATTTGAAGATTATGATCATCGGGGAAGCAAGTAAGAGGAACAGAGTTCCACAGACGAGAAGTGCGGGAGAAGAAGCTAATAGAGAAGAAGAGACGATTACATTTAACCGTTTTGACAGTGTAAGGGTGAAACCAAGATACCAGCCTGGTAGCACGTTTAAATTCATGAAGTCAGGAATCAGCCACAGTAGCTTGTTGGAACAGTTGCAGTGAAAATATTTGTAAAAGAGACAGAAGGAGGCCATGGAACGTCTGTGGGATAGCGATTGTAGACTATAGATGCCAGATCAGGACCTATCAGATTTGCATATTCGTCTCTGGATTTTGTCAAGGACCTCGAGACGTACAGCGGGAGCACCAGACCATATATGACGGTATGCAGTATTCCATGCAAGGACGGATGGTTGATTTATAGATTTGAAGGATGGACTCAGACGAGAAAAACTTTCTGGCATGACACAGAGATTCAACTTTCCTTGCAGTAGATGAAGCTATTGATTCAATGTATTTATTCCACCTCATTTCAGCGGACAGCGTGAGACCAAGTGTAACGAGGCGCACTCAAGGAGCTGGGAATCAGTCATTCTTATGGTAGGCAAGAAGGGATCACTGTGGAGGGTAAAAGATTTTGAGAATAACAATGATTTTTCTAGATACAAGACCTTCTACTTAACTCATAGAAAGGAGGGAGAGAAATTGATGGAATTCTACATTTACAAAGGTTACTTTTTGTTGTGGATTCCGAGATGAATTCGGTCTCCAAGGAATGACAAACGCAATAATTAAATATAAGAAATAAAATGTATTTACACAATCATACAAAGAGTAATACTGTTAGTAAGTCCAGGAACGCGGTTAGTAGCAAATACAGATGGATATATACAGTTTCGAAGTAGGACTTCCTTAGAGTCTACGTGCTTGTAACTGACTTCTACAAGAGGTTACCTCACTCTATCTCCTTTCGTATATTCTCTCTCTATCCGTATATCCTCTCTCACTGACTGTCTAACTCTGGGTATTTAACGGCAGTACTCCAAGTAACACTTCGTAGAGTCCACTTATATAGAAAAAGGTGGACCCCATAACACTTTTGTTTAAGTGAATATAATAGTAATAAAGAAAACAACCGAGAAAATAATGTAAACATGAGAGCAGAGATGGGAATAAATGTTTGAAGTCATGAGAAATTTGCAGGTCATAATATCAGATGATGAATGAAATTAAAGACGACAGTGATCGACATAAATGGCAAAATCTAGGATAAAGTTTGTTTTTTAATATATACTATCATGTAGTAATCTTTCAACGGGCCCCAGTGTAAAGCTATCAAAAAATATGCAACTTTAATCAAATTGTTTCATTATTAATTAGTCATGAGTTTGATAGACGCTTTGAATCCAATACATCATACGTAATTAAATATTCAAAAAGAGTTGATATGGAAAAGTCATTTACCTAAAATAACATAAACAATAAATCATCTCATGATACACAAAGAAGAGAGGTTCTGAACATACCAACTATAAAATCATGATATAAACTAAGCAGTTAGTATAATCGATAGGATAACTGCAATATTTCATCACATTCATATTTCATCATATTCATCAATATATCAGTAAGAATATCTGAAGACCACCTAAAAAGAAAGGGCCCGATAAAAACAGATATCAGTATCCTGGTGTGAATAAATGGAGGTATAATTTACAATATATCATATAAGAATATCAATATGGGAACATGAATGATTCCTCTGTAGAAACACCTTAAGTATATGATTAATAGTTTACTAAGAGCATTGGAATAATATCAGTGTTTTATCACTGATTATCAAATATTTTCAATACTATTTTGTTTGCTGTTCGGGTACTGTGATACTTACCATTAAATTTGATTTCGTCATCATATTCCTCAAGTTGTGGTCGTAACATATTATTTACCCAGTCTTTGTCTTTTTCTGAATGTGATACAAAGAAATCATATTGACAATTGTCTGATCTCTTCGATTCTTGAATCTCATTCGGTCCATTTTTTTCAGTTTCTTCGTTGTTCGTTTCTTGTAGTTTATTCTTAAATGATTCCATTTGCATCTTACATTCCTGATTTTGTAATGTTTCTTTGATAAGCATCTTACAACCCTTCGCATCATATTTTATCATATTTTCTACTAAAGCAATCATCATTTCAGTGTTTTTTTCCAGTATCATCTGCATGACATCTGTTACCCACTCATGGAGACATCTTTTGCTAGCTTCTTTTAATATAAAGCGGAATTCTGTAAGTAAGTTTGTATCTTTTTCTCGCTCGTAAAAAGCCAAGAAACACTTGGAAAGCATTTTAAATACACCAGGAAAATTCTCAGACCATTTGTTCAATTCAAGTACAGTTTTCAAAGATTCAATACCTTTCCTGTATTCACCAATAATCAGGCAACATTTTCCGAGCAGATTGTAAAACTTAACATTCTTACTTATGTCCCATTTGTTTAATGCTTCATGAATAATGTCTAGGGCTTCATATATAAAATATATATGTTTACATTTAAATAAGTGCATGTCAGGTTTTGCTAATTCAAAGCAGATATGCGCCATTCTTACCATACAGATATGCGTACGTCTCGACTGCATAGAGACGTTTCCATCGTTGTAAGCACACTTCAAATTACGATCGATTTCATTTTCATCAGATTTTGTTTTGATCAGATGTTGACTATAAAAATAATATGTATCTCTTCGGCCCTCATAAGCAAGCCAGTTAATATGTGGGTCTGGCAGTAGACTGATAGATTTATTGAAAGCATTTATAGCATCCAAATAATTTGGTATACTCTTTAAGTAATTTCCATATATTCTCCATATGTTATGCTCTTTTGGACAAATGCTTATTGCTTTTTTCAGCATGAGGTCAGTATCTTGACCTATTTCAGCATTTTTCATTAGTAACCCTTGAACAAAATAAATATATGACTTGGCAACATATATATCCATGTGTCTCTGTAAATTTTCAATTGGGAAATGATTTTTGATCATATTTAAACAGGTTTCAAGCGTTTTTCTAAGATTTTCAGCACGTTTCCTTTCGTCACCTTTTCTATCTCTCTGCATATCCAATCTGTTCCTGGCAAAGGCAAGATTGTGTTTCCAAGCACAAATTTCTTCTTGACAACATTTCATGTTTTCAAGCATTTTAATTCCTTCCTCAAATTTTTCAGCAATCATTTTTATCTCATCGGTTGTTTTCTCATAGGGGGGGGATTTCTTTGATCACTTTATAGGCTTCGATAATCAATTTATTTGCTTTGCTTATCTGTTCCGTGTGTTGGCCCTTTGCATTAAGTTGTCTCCAAGCGTCTTTCAGAAGAACTCTTGGTGATTTGCTTTGGTCGTCTGGCAAATCATAGGTTAGCAACAATGCCTGGCCTAATATACCTTTTGCCTGCGACAATGGGTCCTCTTTATATGATTCAAGTTGTGCTGTATATTCATCAGAATCTCCCTCAAGGCCCATTTCTTTGTAGACATAAATTAAGTCGGCAAGAGCATTCAAATCCTTGGGATTGTCTGCGATTAGTTCCTCCAATATCAAACGAGCAGTCGTTCTGCCTGCGTCCATGCAGAAGAAGAACAACGCTTGGATGTTACGAATTGCTGGTTTTATATAAATTGGTTCCCTTTCGAGTTTATTACTCAGGATTTTGGTTTGAATGAAGAAATAGCGGTTGATGATCTTTTTTTCAGTATTCAAACCAATATGAAACAAGCCCGGTTTGAAAGTCTCCATACTGAAAATAGAAGAATATTTGTAATTACATTTTCACTCATTATGTCTTTCACTGTGTGTGCATATATATATATATATATATATATATATATATATATTTATTAATAGAAATTTTATAAGTATAAGACACTATACTCGCTCGAAAACCTTCAGTGTGTTGATTTGCAAATAAACAAGCCAACACCAAAGGGGAAAAAAGGTATAAAAAAGAACCAAGAACATGTACGTTAGCCGAAAATAATCGTCCAGCATACGAGTTCAAGGCCCAAAGGAAAAAAAAAACGACGATCCGTTTAGGTGAAACCTTGGTAGGTTTGTCTGGCTCTCTAGGTTTAACTATATATATATATATATATATATATATATATATATATATATAAACTATCACACTGACTGTGTCATGTATAAAATTTTGGTGTCATCTACTAAAATTTGTCTAATGTTAATGTTATTTTTTTATTTGTCATATGTTCATTATTATGAGTGCCACTTGCATTACAGTTCTTTCTCCATTGAAAACAAATTTAGCAACATTCGAAAGTATTCATAAAAGATAACACAAAACATATTTTTCGGAAATTTGAAAGATTTAATAAAAAAAATTGACATAACTTGTCCATATTATTTAATAAAATATGTTTAAGAGAATTCTTGATACCGAAAAGCATAAGATAAATAATAGTATGAAGGAAATTTACATTAACCAGAAAGAGAAGCGTTTCTCTTTTTAAAATTTGGATTTTTTTAATGTAACTATAACAGCAAAAACATTTCGATTTCATTTTTGCCTTGAAAAAGTCGGAAGACGGCAAAAAACTGATTTTTTTTTCCAATTGTCATCTTATACCATAGTTAGGTCATGAAAAGTTTCGTAATCAGTATGGATAATAAAAAGGAGGGTGTAATCCAGAGAGCTCAATGTAAAACCAGAGCGAATATTAATTTAATTAAAATTAAAGAAAAAATGATAACCTTAAGGGTCTATTGATTATATCTTATTTCCGCAAGAAGGTGTTTTTGGCTGATTCTTCAGATTACATTTCCAAGTATAAAAAATGGTTTAAAATTTATATATTATTTTTGTACAAGCTTTGTGGAGTAGTTTGAAGTTGATGTAAGGTGATAGAGAGAGGGGGGGAGGACGACATATATGGTCGAAATTAGAGAAGGAAGGGGGAGATAGGAATAATTTTAAATCTATTTTTATTAAAATACTTAAGAGTAAGAGGGTGAATAAGGGGGTGGGTAAGGATCAAACATTGACTTATTTAATAAAAGAGACAAAGAGAAAAAAGAAAACATATAAGAAAGAAAATGGGGAAGTAAGGGTGGGAGGAAAATATATATGTATGTATGTATGTATGTATATATATATGTATGTATGTATGTATGTATGTATGTGTGTGTGTGTATTTAGACAGCATATCTTTATTTAAACATGTTTCATTGAATAATATAGACATATTGTGTTTACTTATTTTTATACTGAACCTTTCCAGTTATCTAATTAGTTTCTTTATGTTAATATGAAATTCGCCAAGAATGGCGCCGTGGTTTTTATTAACCCAAATACTGTTTTTTAAAAATCACAGCGGAATGCAGATTTTATCGTAGTTACTATAAGTTTGTCTTTGTAATTTACCCCTGATGATGATCTTGGAAAAGATCGAAAGTACATATATATATATATATATATATATATATATATATATATTAGGGGGGGGGGGCAGATATATAGTAATCCAATGAAGTTCTAAAGAAACACGAAAATTTAAGTTTGACCGAAATTTGATTGATTTAATAAAAAGAAATTTGATAGAATTTGTCCATATATTTAATTTTTCTTGTGTTCATATAGTTTTTTTCTTTTCTATGTTCAGAAAAGAAAAAAATATAAGAACACGAGAAAAATTAAATAAAAAAACTTAACTGCAGTAACTTGTCAGCCGTTTTAAACGAAACTTGTATAAAGGCGGAATTGCTGCACAAATACACAATTGCACAATACACTCACACACACACACACACACATATATATATATATAAGTCAAACAAACAGATATTTCGGATTTGATAAATGTGGTGTAAGTCTCCCACTGGACAAGTTAGAAAATGAATAAGTTACACCTTGCTTGTTGCCAGAGTTGTATAATGGTTGAATACAGCTTCTAGTAAAGATCCTACCATATTTATTTTTCACTGCAATTTATTCAACTATCAACAGGTATCTGAAACCCAAGCGCTTGGATACTGATACATCCGACCCAGACATTACTGATAAGTGGAATCATTGAAAAACGTTATTCCACAACATTATCGCAGCATTATAGACGTCGTCTCTCACAAGAATATCCGCAACAGAATAGCTTACCCTATTATTTCATTATGTCTCCATTCGGGTTTATACACATTATTTCCTGCGGAGACTACGAAACTGTTTTTGGCATCCTAGAAGGAATGTTTGTCAAAAGGAAAAACGCCATTTTCACTCGCCACCTTCTCTCAGCTACAAGGCGATATCCGAGGGATACTTGCATCATTATTTACGGGCATTAAAGACATTAAGTCGGGACTGCAACTTCAAGACATTGACAGCGGACCAAAGCCCGGGACGAATTCATAAGTGGACAAATAAGACAAAGACTGCTCGAAAATAAATCTTTTGACCTGTTATAGTAAAATGATTATGACAAGCGCCTCACTATCTTTCAAAATTATTCCTGCTCGGTTTATCAATGAAAGAAAAAAGTTCAAATTTTAATAACATCCTCTCAAAAAAAAAAAGAAAAAGAAAAAAAGCGAATGGTTATAGACTACTCACAGACTATTAGCTGATTTACTGCTGATCCGCTCCCCTATATTGTGTTCCAGGACAGGCTCCAAACCAGTAGCTATCAAATCTAGGCAATATTCTTACGATACGATTTGGCATTACGAACAGAGTGGCCAGTTTCCAAAGGGTCATTCATAAAATAATAACCAACGAAAGATTGCAAAACACTCACGCCTACATTAATAACGTAATTGTGTACGGCTTTGACACCTCAAGCGGTTCCTGGTCGCTGTTGGAAAATGCAACCTTTAAACAATGAAAATCGTTTGTTCGGATTAAGCATAATTAACCTACTAGGATAAGCCATCATCCAAGGCACCTTAGCGCTGGCCCCTGAACGACTGAAGCCACTATTAGAATTACCGATCCCTAATACTATATCCATCTTACGGCGAGACATGTGCATGTACGCACATTATTCCCCATGTGTAGCCCCATTCTCTGAAAAAATACACCAGTTAACACAAATCACCAGTTTTCCTCTAATACCAAAGCCTTTGTGAACCTAAAAAGTTATATCATCAGTTCTGTTATCGTGGCCGTAGATCACTCTATTTCCCTGGTGGTAGAAACAGAAGCCTTCGACTGCGCCATTAAAGTCTCACTGAGATAATCCGACCGGTCCGTAGCCTTCTCCTCTAGAACAATGGCTGCAACAACGATATTCAGCGATAGAGAAAGAGGCTTATGCAGTTGTGAAGGCCTTAAGGAAATGGCGACACCTTTTCAGACTAGCCACCGACCAAAAGTCTGATTCATTCATGTACAGCCCTAGGACGACTAGGCGCCCTTTATAGGGTTTGTGGATCATTAAAAGACACAAAAGATCTGAAACTGCATAAACAACTGCGTCACCCGGGTATCACCAGAATGTGCCACGTAGTCGAAACCTACATTTATCCGTCGAAAAGTCGGAAGGATTTTGAACTCAACAGTCAAATCCTGGTTTTACCAACCCAAACCAGGAACTATTGTAAAAGTCACGCAACACTTTGATAGGCTCAACTTTCAATGGACTTCTACCAGCCATAACTAGAAATAAATACAGTAATCGATGAATAATCTAGGTTCTCATTCGCTTTTCCCCGGCCAGATGTTTCAACAAAAATAGTAATACAATGTCTCTGCTCCTTATTCTCAATTTTCGGTGTACCAGCGTACGTCCACACTTTCATGTCGGGACAACTAAAAAGATTCCTAATTGAGAGGAACCTGGCTGTGAGACGAACCATGCCCTATAATCTTCAAGGTAACGTCTATACGAACGCTACAATGAGATTGTAGGGAGGACCGTACAACTTAGCAGCCGCGAACCACAAGCGCCAAATTACACACTGGGAAGAACTGCTGCCTGAGGCTCTGTACGCGATCAGAACTCTGTTATGCACTAGCATGACTGCGACATCGTATGAGAGATTTTTGCTGGAAAGCAATCAAAGGTCTTGCTTAGAGATTTGGCACCCGCTGGATGGGTATCGAATCCACAGGAAGGATCCTCCATTCTTGAGCCTATAAACTTTCCCACTAATAACACCGACGTTACGATTCTTCCAAGTTTCAGAGCCCAGAAAACTGGAGACGCCGATACCAACAATAGATCATGCCCCACAAAAGCACAGACGCTGGTGACTCGTTTTCGAATTAAGGGTCCTACTTCGTGTAGGAGACAGAAAAGAATTACAACTAGACTATTCCGGACAACACACTCGGCAGCACTCGAAACTCCTGACCAGGGACAGCCGTGACGTTCCGGACGAATTCACAAAAAAATTCAGTCGTTTGGAAGAATACGTCATTTACGACTGAACAAAAGTGAGCGGAAGAAACTAATCTGAAGGGGCCAGAACATTTGGCCCCATCTCTGGGCCAGTTATAAAAAATTAATCACTACACTGTTACCAGAGTTGTGTTATAGCCGAATAAAGCTTCAAGTTAAGCTCCTACCACGTTTGTTTTTTCATTACAATTTATAGTCCCCACATTTCCTCAGTGATCCCAACATATTTTTTCTAATATACAGTTTTATACTTTTTTTTTCATTCTACTCTGAAGGATCCAGAAAAGGGGCAGATGCAGATGAAACGCATCATGTATCGGTTTTCCACATTGTATCATTATCTTCAATGTACGTTAAACATGAACAGTTTAAGTGTATAAAGAATACGAAAAGAAACTAGCCATACATACCTTTTTAAAGGTTTTTCTTTTTGATCGGGAAAAGTTGGCAGAAATCAACACTTGCTCTGTTATTTTGGTCTGGTGTCGTTTTTGCTATTAAGTGCCTTTATATAATACGACAGCTAAGCGGAGATTTCTAAGAAAGACAGCTACATCAAACGTAAAAAAATCAATTGATATTCTAGCTTTTTCCAATAAGACGTGTTTCGTTTTTATTCTCTCTGTACCTCCCCATTTGAAATATATTTCCCGTTAACCTTCTTTATGTGTCATCTGCTCACCGAGGGTGTGGTTTCTTGGAAAGCCTGTCGAATAGACAAACACATATACAGAATAGAAAAAAAAAGACATGCAATGGCATATTTTTATTAGGTTACACCTTTGTTCGATCTTTACAAGTAATAAATACTGACTCAGGAAATCTTACGTGACTCAAATATTAGCCATCCATCTGTGACTGTTGTTTGAACTAATAATACGAGAAATGCAATTCTATAATTGCTCTGGAATTGATGCCCCTCCCCCAACTACATACTGGAGCTGATATCCTTCCATTTGGTAATCCCCTGGTAACATGCCCGTTTCTGGCCCACTACAACTCACCCTCATCACATAATGGCTCCTTTGTGTCCTTGAGTTTCTGACCCCTGAAATAAAACCTTTACATTCATCTCTAAAAATCTTAACGGAATATCTTTCTTGTACTTGCTTATCGAAACGTTTCTGTTAAAAATCTCATTGAATAAATTGCCCAGTGAATGCGAGAAAATACGCTATTAACACAATTAATAAAGAAATATCTGTTTTTATTTCTGACGTGAGCTATTGCAATCATTTGCACTATTTATATTGTTCGGACTGTTGTCCTCATCTTCATTGCTATATTCACGAGGTTTCGGCCGTTGTGCGTTCCAGACTTCCTCAGGTGATTGGAATTTCGAACTGAACCCTTTATTTCGCCCACCGGGGTAGATTGTTCTAGTTTTACGTGCCGCACCTCTTCCGGGTGTCTCAATATCAGTTATCTCCCTTTAAATAAACTCTCCAAGTTTTTGTTCACCTCAGATTTGGCCAGGTATTGAACTCATCACTCTATGCGTCAAGTCACTAGATTCAACCAATGCTTTTATCCACTAGGACATGTGTCCTTAAGGACATCAGTGTAATATGAGCTCTGGTAAAAATGATTACTGAGACATTAGGTTTATAAGTCCCAAATATTCATTCACTCGTTGACACATGGCCCAGTGGATAAAAGCGTTAGATGAAGTAATCCAGTGACTTGACCCCAAAGAGTTGTAAGTTCAATACTTGGCTACAGTATAGGTGAACAAAAACTTGGAGACTTGGCTACAGCTGAGCTGAGTTAAAAATCCGGAAGAGGCATGGAACGTGGAACTAGAACAATCTACACCAGTGGACGAAATAAAACGTTCAGTTCGAAATTCCAATAAAATGAAGAAGTCCGAATCATCGTGAATATTGCAACGAAGATGAGGACAACAGTCCGAATAGTGTAAATAATAAAGAAAGAATAAAGATCTAAACATTGTAACCGTTTGAAAAACATCTCCAGTAAAGTACAAAAAATAAAATAACTATGGGTTGTTTCCTACTTTGTTCTTTAAGAGTTATGGGAAAATTGGCGACTTCCCATATGAGTCGATGAAAAAAAAGACGAGGCAATTGACAGTTTGAAAAGGCATACTTTATATAAGTAATATATTATACAACGTGAAGAAGGAGAGACAAATTGCTAAACATATTCCTTTAGCAGTTAATGTCATGGCATCGGGGACGAAGACAAAATACACGTATCTGTTTGAAACAATTATCTGATGTTGATCTTATTCTTTTCCCTATGGTTGCTTGTCTATGTATCATTCAGGTTTGATCGTGGCCAGCATCACCTGTTCTTGTAGCAGGCTAAAACGCGTTCATTCACTTCCGTGGTCGTCAAGCCTCCTTATTTGGTGCCTAAATTTGGGTTTTACCCATTATTATCAGATAAATTGACTCGTCAACCAAGGGGAGATAACCTATATTTTTCAGAATGTGAGTAAAAGTTAAGTGTCTGGTGTGAAAACAGATGTAGTTTAAGAAATAGAAACAAATTTGATAAACATGTCCGCAATAAGGCGGAATTTTCAAAAGGACGATTTTACCCATAACATCACTTTTATTTTTGCTGCATATACTCTTACACAATACTTATTGCATCCCTAAATGGAATGCACCTTTAAATATTTTCAAAACAATTATTTTTTTAGGGGCTACAAATTTTTAGATGTAGCCGTAAATTATATGCTAACAGTTTTTTTTTCTTGCACTTCTTGCTTGTGGAACTCCCTTCCGGTTCTATGCTTTTCAGTCAACTTTAATCTGCAAAATATCTAAATGCAATGTCAATCGCTACCTACTGTCCTCCAGATTACTCTTTCCCCTTCCCGCTCATTATTAATGTTTCTGTTCCAAATTCTTTCACAACCATTTAATCCTTTGTGTCTTAGTGGCTTTACTGCCTTCCATGGGGTGATACCGATTAAACAAAAACTATAGCAAAATACTGTGATAGAGTCCAATCCAAGTGGATCTAACTAACTCCTTTATCCACTGTGCCATATGTCCTCAAGGTCACATGACAGTGGATAAAGGCGAAATAAAGGGTTCAGTTGGACATTCCAACCACCTGAAGAAAGTCGGAGCGTACAACGGCCGAAACGTTGTCATAAATATGGCAACAAAGATGTGGATGATAGTCTGAACAATGTAAATAGAATATATATATATATATATATATATATATATATATATATACACACAGAATCCTTGAAAGCCGTCGGTGTTTGTGCTGGCATGAAGTCATAAGTTATCTTGATCGAGGGTTTGAGCGTGTTGACGTAGTTCAGGCTGTTGATTACGCTAGATAACGCGCTCTCTCCCAGAAACTGTAACTATGGTCTGCTCAGCATAGTTGAAGTATAAACTACATGTGGTCTCTGTGGGTATTGAACAAACACAAATGTACCTGAGCAGGTGTCTGCAACGGGGATTAGCTAGCCGTCCTAGTAAACTGTCATCATCGTATTCGAGTGACTGCGCCATTTACCATTTAAATATATATATATATATATATATATATATATATATGCTAAGACTGTATTACGTCAGTCTTTTAACTGTATTCGAAATTTTGAATTTAATCTGGCTCAAATTCAGAACGCTATTACTGATGGCAAAATCGTAAGGATTTTCATGTATCACACTAACTCAGTTTCTTTGTTATTGGAAACAAGGATCCAATTAATACTTTATATACACACGCGCCACAAACGTGTGTGCAGATATGTACGCATGCGCATAGCTATGTTTAAATAAGATAAACTTGGTCAAAACAAATGAAATTCCTCAGCACATCATGTAGAAAAAGTATTTTCAAACAGGAAATATTAAAACGAAAATACTAGCAATTTTTAATATCTAAACTATATTCGCGTGGAACAGAAAATAAACATGAATTGTCAAGAATTGATAGGATATATAAAAAAAATGTCTAAAAAAAAAGAATCCTGAAAATATAAACCCAATTCTAATTGAGGATGAAAATCGGTCGAATGCAAAGCATCGAGCGGCAAGATAAACAAGTCTTAGAATCGATTCTGCTATTTTGCTTTATTTTGCATCTGACGCTTCTGCGGAAAAAATAGTTTCAGGCACTTGGATAAAATATTTGAAAATATTTTAAAAAATTTCGTTTCATTTTTATAAAATTTATTATGCATTCTTTGATGGAATTCGGGTTTCTGAAACAGACTTCACAAGCAATTTATTATCGCCAGGAAATTAATATACAATAAATAATAAACATAAGAGAAAAGGACAGCAACAATTAACTAAATATCTTTTGTTTCTTTAAATTGTTGTTGTTATTATTATTATTGTTGTTATTATAATTATTATTATTATTATTATTATTAATATTATTAATAATAATAGACACGTATACAGGAATTCATTGAACTGCCTAATAACAGAATAATGAAAACATAAAGATACCGAACAGAAGATTATTACAACTTTCTCGGAAGACTGGAATCAATTTCATTTAAACAAAAGGAAATGAAAAACAAGTATCAGCTAAAGATATATTAGACATACAGGGAGGGTTTCCGAAATAAATCCTATCAGCAGAAAACCGATGAGCACAATCTGTACGCATTGTAAGTCATTCTGAGCCCTTCCTAAACTGGAAAACATAAAAACTTGGAATTTGAATATGGTTATGACGAAATTAATGACCATCCACGAAGACTTACACTCTAAAGAATGATGTCGAAACAATACAAAATGAATTAAATTATTATTATTATTATTATTATTATTATTATTATTATTATATCAATTGTGAGTTCAATTCCGAGGCCGGGTAGTGTATACTTGAACTCGGTGTAAAAAGGCAGAGTAATAACAGCATTTACCCTATTTATATTGCTACTAATCTTTGTTGTCATATTCATGACGTTTCGGTCGTTGTACACTCCGCCCTCCTTCAGGAGATTGTAATTTCGAACCGAAACCTTTATTTCGTCCACCAAGGTATATTGTTCCAGTTTCACTTGCCATGCCTCTTCCGGATATCTCAGTATCAGTTATTTCCTTTTAGTAACTCAACTCTCCAAGGTTTTGTTCACCTATACTGTAGCCAGGTATTGAACTTTCAACTCTTTGTGTGAAGTCACTGAATTACTTCAACCAACGCTTTTATCCACTGGGCCATGTGTTCTTGAGGAAGGTTCGGTTCGAAAGAAGGCTGGAGCGTATAACGGCCGAAACTTCGTGAATATGGCAATGAGGACAAATGACTGAACAATGTAAATAGTGCAAATAATCACAATACTTATCTCAGAAATATAGACAAATAACTGACTAGTATTGAAAATAAGAACTTGATGGGTTATCTCCCCTAGACATGGGCTGTGTAACGAGAAGAGTAGATTAAATAATAGTGTTCAGTTTGGAATTTCC